CACCAGAAGGTCCCAATTCTCTTGTGAGAAGTGGCAGAGAGTACCAAAATCCAACAGAGACCAGAGCAAGCGCCATTGTTCCCTCTCTGACCCTGCCCCCAGCAACTGGGTTGCCCCGTCCTGGTGAACACCTAAGGCCCTGGTACTCATACATAACAGTCGTGACAAGACCAAAAAACTATGGCTCAAACACAAGAACAAATCAAAGCTCCAGAACAAATACAACTAAGCAACAAAGAGATAGCCAACCTATCAGATACACAGTTCAAACACTGGTGATCAGGATGCTCACAGAACTGGTTGATTTTGGTCACAAATTGGATGAGAAAATGAAGGCTACACTAAGTGAAATAAAGCAAATGCACAGGGAGAGAATTCTAGAAGCAGCAAGAGATAAGGGGACAGTCACCTAAAAAGGAGTTCCCACCACACTGTCAGCTGATTTCTCAAAAGAAACCTAAAGGCAAGAAGGAGCTGGAAAGAAGTATTCCAAGTCATGAAAGGCAAGGACCTACATCCAAGATTGCTCTATCCAGCAAAGCTTTCATTTAGAATGGAAGGGCAGATAAGGCATTTCTCAGATAATGTCAAGTTCAAGGAGTTAATCATCACGAAACCCTTACTATATGAAATTTTAAAGGGACTTATCTAAGAAAAGATAAAAAATATGAACAGTGAAAGGACAGCAAACTCACTGTTATTAACAACCACATCTAAAACAAAAGCAAACTAAGAGGACAGCTAGATCAGGAGCAAACCATAGAAATGAAGATCACATGGAGGGTTGGCAACAGGAGTGGGAGGAGAAGCAGGGAGAAGGTACAGAGAATAAGTAGCATATACCATGGGGAGAAAATAGATGGGGGGGCAAGAGTAGTGTGGGAAATATAGAAACTAAAGAACTTATGTCACATGGACATGAACTAAAGGGAATGTGAGTGGGGGGGTGTGCAGGGTGAAGGAGAATGAAGGGGGGAAATGGGACAACTATAATGGCATAATCAATAAAATATATTTTTTAAAAAGACATACAAATGTCCAATACACGTAAAAAATGCTTAAGGTCCCTCATCATCAGATGGATACAAATTAAAACCACAATTAAATACCACCACAGGCCTGTCAGATGGCTGTTACCAATAAATCAACAAACATCAAGTGCTGGTGAGGATATGGAGAAAAGGGAATCCTAGTACATTGATAGTGGGAATGCATAGTGGTGCAACCATTGACAAAACATATAGTTTCCTCAAAAAATTAAAAATGGAAATGCCTTTTGACTCAGCATTCCCACTTTTGGGACTATATCCTAAGAATCCCAAAACACCAGTTCAAAAGAATATATGCACCCCACATTCATAGCAGTTTTTTCAATAACCAAGATCTGGAAACAGCTTAGATACTCATCAGTAGATAAATGGTTTAAAAAGTTGTAGTACATTCACACAATGCACTATTTTTTTTAAAGATGGGGCAAAACTTTACCTTTTGCAACAGCATTGATGGACCTGGACTAGGATTATCATGCTATGTGAAATAAGCCAGTCAGTGCTTTCACATAAATAGCATATGATCTCACTTATATGTGGAATTTAATGCACAAAATAACTGAGGAACAAAATAGAAACAGACATAAATACATAGAACAGATTGACAGCTGTCAGAGGGGAAGGGACTATGGGGGCTGGATGAAAGAATGTGAAGGGGTTAGCCAAGGAACTTAAATGCATAACCCGTAAGCACGCACATACAACCATGTGGTGATGGCCAAAGAGAAGGGGTTTGAGGGCAGAAGGGAGGTGGGCAAATGGGTGTAATTGGGGACATCTGTAATTATGTAAATAATAAAAATAAATATGTTAACCATATTGGAATGAATAAAAGATTTGTATCTTATGGTCTAACTTTGACATGTAATAGTATTTATGAAAAGCCCAATCTTTGTCTATAGTTGACCTATGAATAACGTGGGTTTGACGTGCATGGGTCCACTTATATGCAGTTTTTTAAATAAATAAATTGGGAAACTTTTTGGAGATTTGCAACAGTTTGAAAAAACTTACATACAAACCTTATGCTCTAGCTTACTTTATTGTAAGAATACAATGTATGTATAACACACAAAATGCATGTTAATCAACTTGTTATGACACCAGTTGAGGAAGATAAATGAGTAATGGACCCCTTTTAGTTAAAGTTTAAAAAGAAAAGTTTATTTACTTATACAAAAAGAATTAAAATGTTGGTAAAGGCATTTTTTAATCAATCATGAAAAACTTAGATATTAGGAAATATAAAAGCATTCAGATATACTGTATTTCTGTATAGATTATTAACAAATCTCAATAGATTATATATTAACAATTATATAATAAATAAAAATATTCTTTGAGCTAATATATTGTCCATGTTCACCTTCTTTCAGTTCTTTAAATGTACTGTGCTGTCTTTCATATCTAGGACTTTGCCAGGGCTATGACATTTACTGAGAAGACTCTTAGTCACCCTCCTTCCTTATCCCATATTATGCTTCGTGTAAATTTATTGCCAAAGTTTTTAGGACATTCTAGTATGAATTAATTTTCATCTTATTCCTGTTTTCCTATAGTCACTTACATTGTTTTGTTTAAAGGTGTTACTATATCTTCCTCATGTTTAAAATGTTCAGAAATTATTAATAAAATTCAGTTTTTTGATGACTAGGATGGGTATGGACTTGTGTAATTAAAATATACCCCTCAAGTGATTCTTGTTGGTAATTTAAGGGGAAAGAAAATGAAAGACATACATAGACAAGTTCTAGAGAAGATAGGGGTACAGATCATTGTAGTATTAGTTCCATATATATTCAGTATTCTGGTAGGAACAGCACAAAACACAAAAAGGTTATAAAGCTAGCTGCCCAAGAAACTCACTGTCAAATCAGGAGAGAGAACTGAGGTTAGCCAAAAAGGAGCTTTGAATCTGAAGAGGTTTAAGCCACTGTAATTTACTTTTCCCTATTTCAGTTCCAGTGTGCACTCACTGAACATCATTTGTGTGAATAACAGATCAATAGTGAGTGTGAAAGGGAAGTGGTGTGTTCAGGGAAGGATTTTACCCAAGTCAGAGCAGTACCTTAAGGAAAGCTACTAGGTCTGTCTGAAAAAAAGTCCTACCATTATTAATATAAGGAAAACAGTTTGCATGAAATCATTATAACCTGGCAGCCAAGGAGAGTGGACTGGAATGCATATGCATGAACAATGATGACTTCACTGTACTAATCAGTGGGGATAGTAGATGCTGTTCAGTGAGCATGTTTACTGTGTTGCTGTTGCATTCAAAATGACTAAGTAGAGCAGCGCATCTGCATCCAATTTTTTATTAAGCTTGAACCTTCCTCCACTAAAGCTATTCTGATGATTCAGAAGGCCACAGCTATGGGCAACTGGTGATTGGCAACTTCATCATGACCGTGTGCCTGCTCATGCATTGCATCTCGTGCAGAGATTTTTGGTGAAACATCAAATTACCCAGGTGACTCTGCACCCCCTACAGCTCAGATTTGGCACCCTGTGACTTCTGGCTTTTTCCAAAACTAAAATCACCTTTGAAAGGGAAGAGATTTCAGATCATTGCTAAGATTCAAGAACATATGACCAGACAGCTGATGGCAATTGGGAGAACTGTGTGAGGTCCCAAGATGCCTACTCTGAAGGAGACTGAGGCATCATTGTCCTATGTACAGTGTTTATTGTTTCCTGTATCTTCTTCAATAAATATCTGTAGTTTTCATATTACATGGCTAGATACCTTCTGGACGGATCTCATATCTAAGATGAGAGTGTGGTTTTGGATTTCACAGTTGACACATTGCTGTGTCAAGGTTACTATATTGACCTTGGTGTCTGTGTTAATTTAACTAGTATGTCATCTTCATCCATTCTACTTGGAACACAATGCCCAGCCATGAGTAGGAGAATAGTATGCTCGTTAAGAGATTTATCCTGATTCTGCCATTTACTTTATAGCTTTTATATCTAATATAGTATCTATTCTTGTTATTGTGAGGAATAACTAAATAATCCATGTAAAATGATTAATTAATACAGTGCCTTGCACATAATAAGTGTTCAGTGAAAGGTTAGCAATAAGTATTTCAACATTGTCTCTATCAATATTTGGGTCAAGATCTAGATCCTGTTGGCTGGGCTACAGACTCCTACCTTTAGCAGTATTTTACCCATTTTTGTTCTTTTTGCACTTTTCACCCATAATATAAATATATTTCTCAAAGCAGAACTATTTACTAGATATGCTATATTTTATCTTTATGAAAGCACAGCTTTACATGATCTTTTGCCCACCTTATCTTCTGATCTTATCTTCTGCCATAATGCTCCTTGAACATACAAAGCTTACTCTCATCTTTACCTCTTGCTTAGCATACTCTTTCTCCTGAGAGCCCCATGGCTCAGTAGCTGTACCTCAGTTAGTTTCCTTAACGTCACCTCTTTATAAAGGCCTTTCCTGACTGTCCTGTCTAAAACATTACTCCGTATCAGTTTCTTATCCTACTTTGTCTGGAGTCAGATGTGCTACCACCCTGGCTGGTGTAGCTCAGTGGATTGAGCACAGGCCTGTGAACCAGACAATCGCGGTTTGATTCCCAGTCAGGGCACATGCTTGGGTTGCAGGCAGGTTCCCTGCAGGCCAGTTCCCAGCAGGGGACGCACGAAAGGCAACCATACATTGATGTTTCTCTCCCTCTCTCCTTCCCTTCCCCTCTAAAGATAAATAAATAAAATCTTTTTAAAAAATAATAAAATTTTAATCAATAAAAAAATTTTTAAAAAGATGTGCTACCATTACGCCATGAAATCTGTTATCCTACTTTGTATTATTTCTTCTTGTCACTTCTCACTCTCTGATATTATTTTACACATTCATTAATTATAAAATTATTCTAGAGGAGCTAAGTTGGGGCCTAATAACATTGCTGTTATTTTCTCTGTTAGGAAAATGCTTCCTATGGAAAGATGATGGAGAAGTTGTCTCTTCGTAAACAGCGCTTCATGCAGTTTTCTTCACTGGAACATGAAGGAGAATATTATATGACACCACGAGACTTCCTCTTTTCAGTAATGTTTGAGCACATAGAACGTGAGTTTTTCTTTTTAATTAAAAAAAAACAAATATTAGGCCTGAAAAACCTGTTTTTCATAATTGTACACAGGTTTTCTTCATTTTAATTATTATTCCTCATGCCGTGCATTTTCTTACTGTTTAGATGTTTCAATCATTGTGACACAATTACAGTTAAACTTTTACACGTGAATTTATCTAAGAAATAGTTGTTTCGTACAGGGGTTTTTCTAAAGAGAAAAAGGAAAAATAGTTAAGTTTTTAATGTCACCAGATGATTTATTAATAGAATGATTATTTTATCTGGCATAGTAGTGTTTGGTGGTATTAATATTTTAAATTGGGGAAAAAATGAAACTTGAGCAATTAAGAGGATCACATAATGGAGTGATGAGGCCGTCAGTTAAAAAAAAACTGAAAAAAATAGAATAAGAAGGAAAAGTCTATAGTTATATAAACTTTCACCCCTCTGTTACTTTAAATGCTATCAGAAATTATTTTATTATCTAAACTAGTCTCTTTTACTTTGCAGAGAGTTGATACAGCCCCATCCTCTGGGCCTTATATTGCAGGAGTGTTCTATGACAATTTCTTGGCTTCTTGACACTTTTTGAAGTGTGGTAGAAGTACTGCCCTGTTGGTAGCTATATATGGGATAGGGGAAATGGGCTAAGACGAGGTACTCGGACCCCAAGAGCAACTTATGTCTCAAGGTATTCTTGAAAATAACAAACAGCCAACTGGCAATTAATGGAGCTTAACACCTTGATGTGGTCAAGGAAGGAGACCAAGAGAGTGCCAAACTTCTGTCAACCCCATGATTGGGCATTTCCAAAGTTGTGCTTCCCTGAGAAACAACATCAGAGGAACCAACAATAGCCAAAACAAGTGATCAAGCAAATAGGAAGTCCTGTGGTAAGGGAGAAGCTAGTTCCCAAAGTTGCTACTATATACTATCTCAAATGTCCAGTTTCCAAAAACAATGAGACATGAAAAAAAACAGCAAAGTATTGCTCCACTGAATGAAACAGTCAACAGAAACTGCTTGTGAGTACATCCAGACCTCAGACTGAGCAGAAAAAACATTTAAAATACCATTATACGTATCCTCCGAGAACTAAATCATTATTAATGATGTAAAATATTATCATAATGATAATGTCACATCAAAAAATAATATAAAATAAAAGATAGAAATTATTTTAATTTCTATCTTTTTATAATTTTTATTAAAAGATAGATTTTATGATTTTTATCTTTTTTGGTTAATTACTTTAATAATAATTAACCAAACAGAAATTCTAGAATAACTGAAATGAACATTTCACTAAAGGAGCTCAACAGTAGATTAGAAATGTCAAAAAAGAGTGCCAGTGAAGGTAAAGACATATTGATAAAGATTGTGCAATCTGAAGAACAGAGAAGAAAAAGACTGAAGAAAAACGAAGTCTCAGAAAATGTAGGACACCATTAAATAGGGTATACCAACATATGCTTAATGGGAGTACCAGAAAAGGAGAGAGAGAAGGGAGCAGGAAAAAAATATTAAAACAAATAACAGCTGAAAACTTCATAAATTTGTTGACAAACACTGATTTACATATATCCAGCAAGGTCACCAATTTCCAAGTATGATAAACATAAAGAGATCTAATAACAGACACATGCTAGTAAAACTACTGAAATCAAAGACAAGGAGAAATCTTGACAGTAGCCAAAAAAAATGACTTGCCACTTACTAGGGACCCACTTAACATAATGGTTGACTTAGCAGAAACAATGGAAGACAGAAGGCAATGGAATAGCTTACTTAAATGGCTCAAAGAGAATACTTCCGGCCAAGATGGAGGTGTAGGTAGATACACTTGCCTCCTCATACAACCAAAAGAAGGACAACAGCAAATTTAAAAACAAAAAACAACCATAACTGCCAGAAAATCAAATGGATGGAAGTCTGACAACCAAGGAGTTAAAGAAGAAACATTGATCCAGACTGATAGAAAAGGCAGAGACAAGTTAGCCGGGCAGGGAGGAAGTGTAGCAAGTCAGTGGCTGGAGGACTGGGCAGGTGAGATGGTGGCTGGCAGACCAGGCGGTCCCAAATTCATGTACAGATAAACTGGGAGGGACAACTGGGGAGCAAGACAGACCATGCAACCCAGGGTTCCAGTGTGGGAAAAGAAAGCTTGAACACCTCTAACTACAAAAACCTGTGGGAGTTGTGGCAGTGGGAGAAACTGCCAAATTCACAGGAAAGTTCATTGGAGGGATCCACAGGGTCCTAGAATATTCACAAACCCACCCACCCAGAAATGAGCACCAGAAGGGCCCAATTTGCTTGTTAGTAGCAGGGACAGTGACTGACAGCTGGCAGAGAGACAAGAAAGCAGCATTGTTCCCTCCTGACCCCTCCTCCACATACAGCACCACAACAAAGCAAAGTGGGATGCCCCGCCCTGACTAATACCTAAGACTCCACCCCTTACAACATAACACATGTGCCAAAACAAATATGGCCCAAATGAAAGAACAGATCAGCCCTGGCTAGTGTAGCTCAGTGGATTGAGCACAGGCCCACTAAACAAAGGGTCGCTGATTCAAGTCCCAGGGGGGACACGTGCTTGGGTTGCCAGCCAGGTCCCCAGTAGAGGGAACAGGAAGGGCAACCACACATCAATAGTTCCCTTTCTCCCTTTCTAAAAATAAATAAGTGAAATAGAATGAAAGGGAAGGGGAGAAAGAGAGAAGATCAAAACTCCAGAGAAAGAACTAAGCAATGAAGAGAGAGCCAACCTGTCTGATGCAGAGTTCAAAACACTGGTAATCAGGATGCTCACAGACATGTTTGAGTATGGTCGCAAAATAGAGGAAAGAGTGAAGGCTATTAAAAGTAAACTGAAGAAAAATATACAGGGAATTAACAGTGAAGGGAAGGAAACCATGAATCAAATCAATAATTTGGAGGCAGAAGGAAGAAATAAACTTCAACCAGGACAGAATGAAGAATCAAGAACTCAAAAAAATGAGGAGAGGCTTAGGAACCTCTGGAACAACTATAAACATGCCAACATCTGAATCATAGGGGTGCCAGGAGGAGAAGAGAAACAGCAAGAAATTGAAAACTTATTTGAAAATGTAATGAAGGAGCACTTCCGTACTCTGGCAAAGCAAACAGACTTCCAGAAAGTCCAACAAGCTCAAAGAGTCCCAGGGAAGTTGAACCCGAGGAAGCACACACCAAGGCACGTCATAATCATGTTACCCAAGATTAAAGATAAGGACAGAATCTTAAAAGCAAAAGGAGACGAGACAGTTACCTACAAAGGATTGCCCACTAGACTGTCAGCTAATTTCTCAAAAGAAATCTTTCAGGCAAGAAGGGGCTGGAAAGAAGTATTCCAAGTCATGAAAGGCAAGGACCTACATCCAAGATTACTCTACCCAGCAAAACTATCATTTAGAAGAGAAAGGCAGATAAAGGCTTCCCAGATAAGATAAAGTTAAAGGAGTTCATCATCAAGCCCTTATTATATGAAATGTTAAAGGGATTTACCTAAGAAAAAAAGATGATAAAAACTATGAACAGTAAAATAACAAACTCACAATTATCAACAACTGAACCTAAAAAAATAACAAAAACAAAGCGAACTAAGCAAACAACTAGAACTGGAACAGAATCACAGAAATGGAGATTACATGGAGGGTTATCAGCAGAGAGGTGGAGTGGGGAGAATGGGGAAAAGGTACAGGGAGTAAGAAGTATAAGTGGTAGATACAAAATAGACAGGGAGATTATGAATAGTACGAGAAATGGAGAAGTCAAAGAACTTACATGTGCAACCCATGGACATGAATTAAGGCAGGAGAAAATTGAGGGGGTGCTGGATGGAGAGGGGAAAGAGGGAGAAAAAAATGGGACAACTGTAATGGCATAATCTATAAAATATACTTAAAAATAATAATAAGTTACTCAAAGAGAAAGATGCCAACCAAGAATCCTATATTCAACAAAGCTGTCCTTCAAAATTGAAGGTGAAATAAGACTTCTAGATAAAAGCTAAGAGAATTTGTTGCTAGTAGACTTGTTTTGCAAGAAATACAAAAGGAAGTAGGGAAAGCAAATGATTCCAGACAATAATTTGTATCCACAGAAACTAAGAACATCTGTAAAGGTAATTATGTAACTTTAAAAGATTGTATAAGTGTTTATGTAGTCTCCTTTAACTAATTTTAAAAACATACCCTAGCTCTGTGGTTCAGTGGTTTGAGCGCCAGCCTTCAGACTAAAAGGTCACTGGTTCAGTTCCCAGTCTAGGGCACATACCTGAGTTGCAGGCCAGGTTCCCAGTAGGGGGCTCATGAGAAGCAACCACACATTGATGTTTCTCTCCCCCTCTTTCTCCCACCATTCCCCTCTGTCTAAAAATAAATAAAATCTTTAAAATTTTTTCAAAAAATAAATTAAAATGTGCACAATAGTATAATTTATACACATTATACCTAATACAAGTATTACACGATACATTTTTATATGTATCACAGGTTTATTATTTTGCCTATAACATAGAAAAATGTATGTGTATGTGTTTAACAGCACAGAACAGGGGGTTATGAGGAAAGCCGTACTGTGGTAAAGAAATAACAATGTTATAACACTATAATTTAGAGTTCGTAACATTAATTGGCATGATATATATAAAAATGATGCCTAAAAGACGGCAAGGAATAGAAATACATAGAAGTAACATTTTCAGTTCTTGTCAGACTTGAATATAAATCTAAAACTATTTCTGGTAAGTTAAAAAGTATATGGTAAGCCTAGAGAAACCACTAAGGAAATAACTCAGATTTATAGCTGAAGGGTTATTAAATGTTCCACTAGTAAACACCCAGTGTAAACAAAGCAGTTAAGAAGTAATAGAGAAACAACAACGAGACACATAGAAAACAAAAAGTAGGGGGAAGAGAGACAGATTTTTGAACCCCTGAGTGAGGTTCTGCCTAACAGAGGCCTCTGC